ATTAGGTATGAAAAATAACAAAGGGCAATCACTCAAAAATTATGAAAGGTAGAGTTATCATTCATGTGCACTGCACACCTCCTGAGTAAGATCTATGCACCTATGAAGTTTCATGTTAATATCTCATAGGCTTTTGGAGTTATGCTCTGGACAAAAATCAATTTTGAAAAATAACAAAGGGCAATAACTCAAAAATCATGCAAGGTAGAGTTATCATTCTTGTGCACTGCACTCCTCCTCAATGAGGTCTATCCACCTATGAAGTTTCAAGTTGATAACTGAAATACTTTTAGAGATATGCTCCGGACAAAAATGTCGGACGGAAGGACGGATGGAAGGACGGAATGTCGGACAGATGGACGGACGGATGGACGGAGACTATTTCTATATCCTCCGCCGAAAATTTTCGGCCGGGGATAATTAAAAGTTTTATGTCAATAACTTAAAATGTTTGAGCTTTATTAAAGTTTATGCATGACAACAACCACAACAACACAGCAGCAATCATAATAGTATGACTTTTTTATCGACAAACTTATGACCAAAAAAAAATCTATTTTTAGCCTGACATCAACATCAACTTCCAAACAAGGGTAAGAGGTAAAGCACCACTTCACAAAATATCTATGATATAAGTCAATAAAGAAAGACCCTATCAATAACAGCAAATTAATGTTCTGAAATTAAAAGACTGTCAAGCAGGCAATTTTATGAAATGGAAGCCTAAGCAGGCAATTCATCAGACAGTTGTATAAATACGAGAGAAAATACATCACTTACATCAACACAATCCCCGAGCTGTATCTGATACAGTATAAATGATATCAGTGTCCCTCCTGTCAAATCCCCATTAAGTACGAGATGTCCGCCATAATACAACACAGATACTGTCAGTGACAGCTCAAATAACTGTAAAATATACAAATATTGTCAATCAGGGGCTAAAATAACTGTAAAATAAAACAAATATTGACAAGGAGGGCTAAAATAACTGTAAAATATACAATATTGACAATGAGGCAAAATAACTGTAAAAATTTACAAATATTGTCCAATGAGGGCTCACACAGCTTAAAATATACAAATATTGAACAGTGAAGTTTAAAAATGTAAAATAAACACATTTTGTCAGCTAGGCTCAAATAACTGTAAGATATACAGATATTGTCAACAAAGCTCAAATTACTGTAAAATATACAAATATTTGTCACGAGGGATAAAAATACAGTAGAACTTCCGTAAGTCGAAGTTTGGAGGGACTGCGTAAAAACTTCGACACATCGGACTTCGACTCATGAATCGGTCTGAATTTCATGACAAAATTTCACCCGTGGCTAGAATTATAAGATCTAAATTAACCTATTTCATGTTTTTCTTCATTCATTAATCTAATATTTTTTTTTTCATACAATGAAAATATGACATGTTAAGTAACTTTTTCGCTGCTAAATTGGTTTTGACTACCTGTTGGGACGTAAAAATGAAGTTACAAAAGGCTAACAATACGAAAAGGGCTAATCTGAACCAGCTTATAGTAATATTCGCGGTAATTAATCACGCGACACCGGGGTCACGGAAGTTACACCGATGAAGTTTCTTCTGTTTACATGTACTTTCAATTACGCTACGGCAATTAAAAATAGTAACGATTTTAAAGCATTTTTTTCAACATTTAAAACGCATACACGGGGGTTGTGAACACAACGACTGTTGTAATTAACACCTGTCACTAAGTAAATCGAAAATCGTCTTCGCGGCCAGAAAAGGTGTGAAAAACGTCTCGGAGATCAAAGGTGTCAAAATTAATCGAAGGACTTCGACTTATTTGTGTAAATTTGTACTAGATTATTCATACGGACCACGAAAAAACTTCGACACATCGAAAAATTCGACACATAAAATCTCGACTCATAAATAGGTTTTTATAAGGAATATATAAGGGAAATAATCGGGACTTTCATTTTACTTCGACACATCGAGAAAATCGACTAATCGAAGTTCGACTCATGGAAGTTTTACTGTAACTGTAAAATATAAATATTGTTAGATGTCAGTGAGAGTTAAAATAACTATCCCCGAAAGTTAAATTCTAATATTTTTTTCTCACCAACCCCCCCAATTTTTAAAATTAATCAAATTAGAAAAAATTTACTAACCATGTTTACCATACAAAACCCGAGTAATAAGCGGCCCTTTTCTTTTCGTTTGTAGGTTATGCAGCTTTGTTGCATATGTTTAATTTCTCCTTCCGTTGGCAAAGCTTCCACTGTTCGCAAGTGAACAGCCTTCCTCGCAACATTGTTGCGCATTACCAGGCTGTTCCTGAACTCTTTCTGACATTTGTAATGTCATATGTGTTTTAACATTTTTTTTTGTATTTGTTTTTTCCAATATAATTTGTAAATTTTGTAGGGAAAAACTGACGTTTTAAATTTGCGAGTTTTAAAAGTCAATAACCCCTAGATGCGCATTTTTAAAAAACATAACAAAAAACTTTGAGTGGATCGTAATTCAGTGCAGGTGTCCCTCACACTTACATACTTTACCAGTTATGCTTTGACAATGTAATTTCTATTTTTGGAATTACTATAAACGCATACTGAATTGATCCCTTCCACAATGTTACTTCTTAAATGAAGAGAATGGGAAGGAAATATAAGATTTGTTCATTATAACTTTTACCCTTTAATATATCTTTATAGAAAACACACATTACACAACCTTCATTCAGACTCATATCATCATTCCACCCAATATACACACATGCAATACCTATATTTTAATTTTTCTTACTTGTAAATAAGCGCCATAAATCTTCGACACAGCTAGATACAAGGGCAGGCCGATAAAAGTAACTATAGTAGTCGCCATGACAACTTGAACATTTTAAAAAAAAGAGCACACCTGCTGCTTTGATCAGGCTACGTAGAAATATGTTCACATTGAGGCCTAAAGTGTCACTCATTGTTGTAGTATCTGAGGTCAATCTTGATGTTATATCACCTACGAGGAATAAAAACACATAGAATTTCAACCACTATTTATCATTTAAAATAAGACTTATATAAACATTTTACCTGCTACATTTGTGAACAAGATTCCCCTCCACCTTTCAAACTTTGGAACATACATTTGGAGAGATTCATATTTAAAATGAAAGTTACAAAATTCCCAAAATATCAACAGAACAGGGGTGATCAGACTGCAAACATATATTGCGCTTGCTCTATACTGGCCGCTTCCCCCAGCAAAGTAAGGTTAACAAATCTGTTTTGTCGATAAGAGCAGTAGTGCCAGTGATTAAGGTGTCTGCCTCTCAACCAAGGGACGGTAAGTTCAAGACTAACTTGGATTCGGTATTCACGACCATATTTTTTTTCTAATATGCCACCAGATGATTCAATAAAACCGATTTTTGAGAATTTTCAAAAACAAACAAAACTACCTTTCTTCACAACTAGGTTTCAAAATCAAACTCTAAAGATATTTTTCCATCATAGAAGTCCATTCAAAATACTTTTTCATAATGGTTAAACCTATGTAGTCTTTTTTAATTTTTTTTTTTGTTTAGTTGGTTTTTCGTCACCCAAACATTAAGGTAATGCGATGTTTAAGTTTACCTTTGGGGGAAACCCCAGGTGCCCCCTGGCATTATTTTAGGGAACAAAAGGGCGCCCGAGTAGAACCACCGACGTTTGTAATTTTTTAAAAATTTAACTTAACAAATGAATTTTCCCAAAGGGTATTTCAGGGAAATTTCCTTTGGGTCATGTATAAAAATTTTTTTTTCATGTGAAGGGAAAAAAAATTTAGGGGGCGCCCTTTTTCCGAGTGGGTTTAAAGGGCTTTTATTTTAAACCATTTTTCCCCTCACCTCTGGGGGTTAAATTTCCCCACAGGGATTTGGGTTCTTTCATGTGGGAAGCTATCCAGCTAGCTTTTCGGAAAACCGTTCGGTGGGTTTTACTCAGGTGCCGGTTCCCTGCCCTGGAAAGGGACCTGAGGTCTTTTCCCCCCCAGTAAAGCTGGAAAAAGGTCGGCGAAATAATGACCTAGACTGTGTAGTTTTGACCTAAAAAACCCCAAAAAAAAACAAAAAACAACGAAGTTAATCAAAAAGCCTGAAAAAATTTATGGCAAATTGTAAACTTATCTTTTTTTCACCTGTTTACTCCTTGTGGCCCCCGGGACGGCATAATTGGCACTTTAAAACCTACTTTTTATGGTCCCCTAAGCAGGACGTTGGGGTATAATTTTGCTTTTGCAAGATGTTTGGTTTTGGTCAGTTTTGTCTATTGGTTATCTGTAGCCAAAACTGTTTGTCCAATTAAATTTAACTTTAAGAAGTGAGGCCTAGGAACTTCAAACTTGTATTAGATTTTGGTCATTTAATAAGGAGATTTAACTTTTTTAAGCCCTTTTGGGGTCAAAGGATCTGGTTATCCTTTTTATATAACAAAACTTGTTTCTAACTCAAAACACTCAAACTTGCACTTGTGCATTGGCAAGTATTTTGCCCCTATTGAGTTATGAGTAAAATGATCAAAGGTCAAGGTCACATTGCCCTTGTATGTATAATTATATTGTTTCTGACTAAAAATTTGACAACACATGGGACCTCAAACTTCACAGGTGTCATTTGATGATCCCTATTGATTTAAGAAATAGGGGCAAAAGGTCAAGGTCACATTCATCTTTTATGTCAAAATGGTTTCCCACCATTAACTAGACAACCCATGGACCCTCAGCCCTCCATCTTCACAGTTGCATTGGACTTGGCCAGGATATGACTCCTTTTGACATATCTTGTTTCTTTGTATTTCTCACATTTCATAAAAACTATCATGTTATCATCCACATTTACAGGAATGTCATGTGCTAGATTCAAATGTGATTATTTTATAACTTGCTTAAAAGATAATACCTCTAGAAACAGCTAAAAAGACAATCTTATGTTCATAAAAAAATCATCATATCCTCAAACCTGTTTGTATATTGTCAAAAAATCCAACTTCCTGTTTCATTAGAGATGTAAACAGAGTTTTCCTTACTCGGATGTTGAATCTATCTGAGGCTATAGTAAAACAACCACCTCTTATACCAGCAGCTAGTGCACTGAAACAATCAAATAGTAACCTCCACCTGTATATTCTCACACCAAGTTTTAGTGGTCCAAAACCCATCTGGGCTTGATGAAATGTTTATTTTCATGATCTGTAGTTTTTACAGTGGGATTAAGAGTTTCATTTAGTTTTAGCGAAAATGTAAGCAAGTCTTCAAAATAAATAGCGAGTGCCTTTTTTGGTTACAAGTTTATCTAAGAAACTGTAGTTATTCTTTTTCCCAAATCTATGACCATCATTTTCCAATTTAAATATAGAAAATATACTTATTTTCATTTGATACATTGTTCTTTATCCAAAACTAAAGGAAACTCTTGATGCAAGGTCAATAGGTGCAAACAAACATTTAAGAATTATGCATCTTTGAATATTATAGCTTTTACATCAGTGCTGATAAAGAAACTTCTTTTATTTCATGACAATATACATGTATTGTGTATTCACATGTACATTGTACGTTCATTTGACATCATGAACAATAAAGACAATTATGCCCATGGATTTATATAGGCAAAAAATCGAGACCGGAAAAAGGTGGTTGTGTTAGTGATTTGTCTGTGATAAAGGGTTGGTCATAAAGCGAGAATTTACTGTCTATTCTTAGTAACTCTTTCTGTAGGTTTTGAAATAATTTTTGATAATTATTCACTGGGGAAGTGACCAGTTGTAGCAAAATAGACAAAGATGCACAATTCTTAATCTACACTAACATTCTTCAAACTACCCTAACCTGTTTGAATATTGTCAAAAAATCCAACTTCCTGTTTCAGGATAGAAGAAAACAGTGCATTTCTAACTCTCAGATTGAGTCTTCTATTAGCTATAAATAAGCAGCCTCCCCTCAAACCTGCTGTGACAGCACTGAAAATATTACACAATAATTCACCAATATTTTTGCTTCTCTGTTACACAGTTATAAAATAATGAATTTGCAATCTGTTTTACCTAACAGAAATAATATTTCTTTCTCGAAACTAAATTTAGAACGTTTTTCAATAACCACACTGCAGACTTGAGGGAAGTACAAAATGTAAAGGAGGATGCAAAGTACACATATTATACATATTTAAACAAGCTTTATAATAATTTTTCAAATTAATTAAGACAACAGACTGCCTGTAAAACACAGGAGCCCCTTAATGGCAATAATATTTTATGAAACTCTATGGTCAGAACTTGAACAACTCTCAAAATAGCCTGAAAGAGGACAGGGCAAGATGGGTAAATGCAAAAGCCAAAAACAAAAGACGTCTCGATTGTTTTATTGACCACAGACTGGCAATCACCCTATGATGAAGAGAATCACTTTCTGTTGAAACAATTCTGTGGGATAATGCAGTCAGCCTTTCATGTCTTTAAGTCACAGATGCTGTGACTGAAATCTTGCAACATGGACCTATTTTGAAAACCAGACAAGAAGATACCTGTATTGGCCACAGGCATACATGTACCTGAAAGGAGTTTGGCAACTGCTGGGGTAACTATTCTTAAGATATTCCGCAGACATCGAGTGGTCTTTGCACCTTCAAACTGACTTATCTGCATTAAAGGGCAAGATCAGAAAATACATGGTTGATGTCGAGATGGAGAAGGTTTATCCGGTGAGCGAGAAAGTGTATCTTGGCAAGCTTTAGCGAGCCAAGATTCACATTCGCAGCGAACCGGATAAACCTTCTCCATCCCGACATCAACCATGTATTTTATTTATCCTGCTTTTTATCATGTTTTTAAAATAATTAAATGGTTTCATTCTTCTTTTTCCCTGATAAAATAGCATGTATATGCAGTTTTGTTTTGCTGCTAAACATGTGACGTCATCATGTGGCGTAATGACTGGACGGCAAGGCTTTATCCAGCTGATGATATAGACAGTAGCAGGATAAAACAATATCCCTCTTTAGGGGGTCATCAAAATGCAGTTTAAGACAGTAAATCTTTAAAAAAAATACAAAATGTAGATTGGTGTAAATCACCATTGACCACCAATACATATGGACAACTACTTTAACCTTTAACATGCTGAATTTGAGCAATATATTTGTCCCACTTCGAATTTTGATCAGTCCATAAAAAGTTTAAGGGATTACATTATCAAAACAAGTATAACTCTGTTTTGCCCAATTTTTGAGAGTGATCAGTGATCACATGTGTCACCTCATGATAGCCAATTGCATGTTGCAGCTACTGTGTAGCAGGAGACACAAAAACCATTAACAGGGCGAACACCAATTTTTTATTCAAGGGCCATAACTCAGCTCTCAGCCAAAAAAATCATTCAACCGGAAAACTTGTTTAATATGCGCAAGTAGTTGAGCTACTGATCAATCCTGTAAAGTTCCATTAAATGGTATATGATGAGTAATCTGCATGGAGATGCAGGCAGCCCTTGCTCTTTAGTCTTTTAACTGATGGGAAAGGTATATCCCTTTCAGTTTCATCATGTTATTAAGGTTTAAATGTAAGAACTTTACTTACATTGCAGGATATAAAAGCACCTCATTCAATAAGGCAAATACAAAATTGACAGAGAATCAGCATATTTGGCCATTTCCACATTGAGGCCCGATTCAAAACGATGTAAAATTTAATGTGTAATTCAATAACCTTACCTGCCCACTGATATAAGTGCCATGACTATGATGGCATGGGTAAACTCTTTCTGAGACTTATCTATCACAATACCGTCAACAACCTTTCCAGTGTAAAACGGGATAAAAATTTCACCTGAAAATATAAAGACAAGAGCCATGTCAACATGGCCATCCCCCGCCAAATGTGTTTGCTCATTGGAATAATGTATATGTAGTAGAGCAGAATAATTCCATTTTAAGAGGTCTTTAAGTAATGAAAACTGATGGCTATAGTGATTACAGATTTGAAACCTATGTGAATACTGATGGCTGAAAATAACAAAGGGCAATAACTGAAAAATAATGCAGGGTAGGTTATCATTCTTGTGTGCTGCATCCCTCCTCAGTAAAATCTATCCACCTATGAAGTTTCAAGTTGATACCTCAAATACTTTTTGAGAAAAAAATTGAATTGAAAAATTAAGTATGAAAAATAACAAAGGGCAATAACTCAAAAATTATAAAAGGTAGAGTTATCATTCTTGTGCACTGCACACCTCCTGAGTGAGATCTATGCACCTATGAAGTTTCATAATGATATCTCAAAGGCTTTTTGAGTTATGCTCTGGACAAAAATTAATTTTGAAAAATAACAAAGGGCAATAACTCAAAAATAATGCAGGGTAGAGTAATCATTCTTGTGCAATGCACTCCTTTTCAATGAGATCCATCCACCTATGAAGTTTCAAGTTGATACCTCAAATACTTTTTGTGATATTTAGCTCTGGACAAAATAGCATGAAAAGAACAAAGGGCAATAACTCAAAAATTGTATAGGGAAGAGTTATCATTATTGCGCACAACATTCCTCCTCAATAAGATCTATCCAACTATGACATTTCATGTTGATATCTCAAAAACTTTTTTAGTTTTGCTCCACTCAGGTGAAAAATTAAGTATGAAAAATAACAAAGGGCAATAACTCAAAAATTATGAATGGTAGAGTTATCATTCTTGTGCACTGCACACCTCCTGAGTGAGATCTATGCACCTATGAAGTTTCATAGTGATATCTCATAGGCTTTTGAAGTTATGCTCTGGACAAAAATCAATTTTGAAAAATAACAAAGGGCTATAACTAAAAAATTATGCAGGGTAGAGTTATCATTCTTGTGCACTGCACTCCTCCTCAATGAAGTCTATCCACCAATGAAGTTTCAAGTTGATAACTCAAATACTTTTAGAGATATGCTCCGGACAAAAATGTCGGACGGAGGGATGGACAGAAGGACGGACGTTTCCGGTCGGACGGACGGAAGGTCGGACGAACGGACGGAGACTATTTCTATATCCCCCGCCGCCTTTTCGGATAAAAAAGATTGGTTTTTATAAATATGTCCTAAAATTTAAATGAAATTTCAAAGGAGAAGTTTGTAATATAATACTACATGTATTTATAAATGAAATTTTGACACACTTATTACAAGTTATAGATTAGAATCAAAAAAAGTTACATTATGTGTTTTCAATGTATCCCTTTTTGATAGGTTATATGAAGATTTCTATAGAATTACACATGGCCATGTCAAACGGCTTAGAACTGGCATAGTAACAGCTACCAGGGGCAACCCAAACTTTTGTATGAGCCGCGTCACGACAAAACCAACATTATGTGTTTGCAATCCGCAGTCTGATCAGGATCCATGCTGTTCGCTATCAGTTTCTTTACTTGTTATAGGGTCTGTAAGCGAACAGCATGGATCCTGATCAGACTGAGCTGGTCTGGATCCATGCTGGTCGCAAACCCATTATTTTGGTTTTGTCATGACACGGCTCATTTTTATTATGTCTATTCAACAATAAATGTGACTGAATACCTTACCAGTTATAACCTATTTTTCTCGGCACGTGACTGACTACTGTTCCACTTAATTTCTGAATCAGCAGTAAAAGACAATTGACCATTACACTCAATTGTCATGGAGAAATTTACACCAAGTCTGACGATCGTACGGCAAAACCTTGATAACTACTTCATTTACTAAGCTAAACTTGTGTCATTGTTACTTAAAGGGACTCCACTTTTGACATGATGGGACTGAAAATATTTCTTCTACATAAATGTACCATTTGATGTAGGTTTAGACCACTAATCTTTATGCAAAATTTTAGATCATTTGTGTACCTCATTAAAAAATTTTTCCAGAATAACTATTCAAATTGTAAAAAAAATGACCAAAATGAAAAGCGTTTAAAACCTTTTCACTCAAATTGGGCTAAGAAAAGCATACAAATATGATTTTCAATTTATTTCAAAGTATGTTTCTTAACTATCTTGGCATATATTTCTGTTAAGTGCCCCAGCTCATTTATGTAAGGAATTCAAATGTTATGTTTTTAGGCCTTTAAACCTCAGTGGAGTCCCTATAAACCAAATCTGTCACTTGTGTTTAGAATACAGAATAAGCTTTATTTAGTACTAACCTGTTGCCGATAGTGACAGAAATATGAACCCCGCAGATATAAACATCCAGTCTGGCTTGGAAAATGAAAACAGACGCAATATTGTACTCTTTGCATCCCTTGCCTTTTTATCTGCAAAAAAAGTTTTTGATATACAAAAACCTTTCACCTACATATACAGAAAAATGTACTTAAAACCTCAAAAATGTTTGTTTTAATGTAAACTTCTATAGACCAAACAAAAAGCGACAAAAAACAGCTTGTACAATTTAATAGCAAGTAGAAAATGATATAAAATTGGTAAAAAAATAATTAACTCAGGGCTCTCATTAAGTTAAGAAGTCAGAGACTGCAAAACAAGTCACATTATATAGGTAAAGAAGGAAAGCATTAAATTTTGGAAGTCACAAGCCAAAATATCAAGAAGTAAATGACTCTAAAACTTCCATTAACAGAAGCTCTGTTAACCTACTTTTAAATTTTAAAATATTGACTATTTGTTCATAATCTTATTACCCTTTTCTTTCCCTAGATCATCTTTGTTTTTCTCATCACTAAGCAGGGCTTCAGTCTCGCCTGGTTCACCATCGCAATTTATCTTCACAACAGGGGGCATCACAATACAAATATTTCCCAGAATCCTCCATTGTAGCGTCAGAATCACGGAACTGACCAGTGTCCATGAAAACAGACACCAAAACCAAGTACTATTCAAAAGCTGTGAATCTTCCGAGATGGACAAAAGCTTGATTAACGTAAACATTGCCGAGACTCCGGCTAAAAATACTGAGACGGCCCTCGTTGATTTTATTCGATTTATTCCGAGTTCTCGGCCTACTATAATACCCAAGGTTAATCCTAGAATCACAGAGCATCGTAACACGCACAGTATCCATAGTTCAAACACCGAACTTGTGAAGGAATAACGGAAGAAAGTCAGTTTAAATGTCTGATGAAATCTATATCCATGACTGTATAACACTGTTGTTAAAACAACATCCAAAAAAGAAACAACACTTACTAACAATAATCCTTTAAACAGCCTCATTTTTTCTTCTTCAACTAATTCAGAACTTTCTACTTATTTTCAATGATGATATAAATTTCAGTAAAATTCACACAAGAACAAAACTTGGGT